AGTTAAATTCATATTGTTTACCTTCTGCAGTTATCCATCTAGCAAGAGTAAAAGTAGGAAACAGTTTTGTTACATTGCTTTGAATAAGTAGTGGAGCTCTGATGGAATGAGAAACGACAGAGTTGTTACATCAGGTTTGGAGGGGCCTGGATGGACAGATCTGTGTACATGTAAAAGTTGATGATGCAGCAGAGAAACTGCAAATGCTTCTCTGGCTTATTGAAGCAACATCTCATGTTAGACATAAAACCAGAAGCGTTTTAAGTAGAAGAATAACAATATTGAAACCTTTCCAATATTGAAACCTTTCCAATATTGAAACCTTTCCAATATTGAAACCTGGTTTGTGATACAAATGACACCTCTTGGTGTGATTGAATTCTCAGATGCTCTGTGCTTTGCACCACTGTACAGAGGGATGGTGGGAAAATACTGAAATGAGTCCATGAAGTTTTGGAATTGCAGAATTGTGTGGGGTTCAGGACCCACAGGGCTGTTGGCAAGTGTTAGACCATTGCTCAAATCCCTCACACCCGAGTTACCAATGAAGCCAGAAATGAACAGGGTTTAAAACATCCTTCTTCCACCAGAAGATGGGTAACATTTTAAAATAGGAGAAAATGTCTTGAAGCAACTCAATTCTCAGGGAAGCTTCCCATGTTAAAAATCCTGCTCTAAAATGATGGGGGGCACTTGTGAGGGTTTTTTTCCCAGATGTCAATGGGCACCTCCTTGTTTGTTTGAGTGGCTCTGAATCCTTCTGGGTTCTGCATTCAGGGCAGTGAACAGGGGGAGTGAAGGAAGCCTGGGAGCACCCATTGGACACAGGGAAGGACACTGAGCTCTGTCTGCCTGGAAAAATTCATCTGAGCATTGACCTCTCCCTGTGCTGAGCTGAGCACAAACCCTCTCAGAGAGTTCTGCCCCAGGCAGTTAAATTTGTGTTTAGGGTACCACAGGCTCCCCACATTTTGCATTTCCCTGTGTCTCAGCTTGTGTTTGCAGTGTGTTTCATTCCTTGATAGGGTGTGTTGGAGGGAAAAGGGATGGGAACTGGGCTGTGGTACTTCCAGGCAGTCTGTTATTAATTCTGTCCCTGAGAGATTTGGGCTCTGAGAGACTTTCTGCAAGGCACAGAGGGGCACGGGGCTGCTCTGTGCTGCAGGAAACCTCTCTGCAAGGAGAGGGTGAGCTGAAGGACAGATTCACTGGCAAACCAGAGCACTGTGACCTTCCTCCTGAAACTTCTCAGTACTTGAAGGAAAAGTCACCTCAGGAAATCTCACCAGGCTCTGTGACTGGCACGGTGAGTTTGCTGACCCTTTGTACAACAGAATCCATGGAATGCTGGCTTTATGATGGAATTTGGAGTCAGGCTCAGAATGGGGATGCAGAGTGACTGGACTGCATCATTCTGCTGTTAAAATAGAGTACCTGATACAATCTCTTGCACAACCAGTGAAATACAGCTGCATGTCACAGTGCAGTCACACTTGCAGGCATCCACCAGTGACTCTGACATTACTTTAAGAGCACACCAATGATATTTTCCTTTTCTCCTGAGTCATTCCCTTTTCTTATGCCTGGTGCAGTGTGATTTATAAGAATTGGGATGTCTTCTAGTGATTTGTGGTAATACACCATTCAGCAAGGAAAGAGAAATTTTATTTTGTTATTATTCCATATTTCACTTGGTTGGCTCAGTGAACCCTTACAAAATGTATTCAGAGATTGTCCCTGTAGATGAATGTGGGGATAGAATTTAGCAATGGAACCAAATGCAGAATGTTAGAAGTGATCTGGGAAAGGTTTCAAATTCTTCATTTCTGTGACAAGAATTACAACCAACTGGGAAAATGGCACCAGGTGAGTGAATTGTAGTGACACTGAACTGTAACAATGGAGAGGAAAGATAAAAATTTTAGTCATTATTTTTAGAACTTCAAGGTCATCGTATCTGAGTTGCTGTCAGATGTTGCAACATGGAGAATTAAATAATTGTACCAAAACTAGATATACATTAGTTCATTTTACATGATTTTTCCCTTAAGGTTACAGTTCTCATTACTAGAATTGAAATTTAGGAATATATTTTTTCTATTAATTTCCTTTTTAAGACTATCAGCAAATAGTTTACATTGAATCATAATAATTTATTTTCATTCTTTCTTGCTCTGCCTTTGTTTGAATGACAAAAATCATAACCTAAGTAGAAAACAGTAAGGTAATCCATTCTTGTGTCACAAGTCATAAAAAGAAAAAAGTAAGGCAACAATTTATAGTTTTGACATGCCTAAATTACTCACAGGAGTTAATACCTATTTTTCCCTGTCAAATTTGGGTTTGAATCTCACAGTGGTTTATAAGTAATTTATGTGCAAAACATTGTAGCAGGCATACAGGGCAGTATCTAATTATTCCAGTCAGAAAAATTTTAAAGCTGCAAATTTTAGGCCTTCAAATGTGCCACATGTTATGGTGTGGCTGCAGGGTACAGCAAAAATTTTAGAGACGCTGATTTTATAAGTTGAGGTTTTCCAGCACAGAAATGTTGCAGGATACACAGCATAAAAAAATGCTGTTAAATTTACAGGACTCAACGCACAGAGATATGGGAGATCTTTTGCTGTGTGCCAGTCAGAAATAGGGGATTTATCAAACCACTACTGTAGCTTGAATTAAAGTGTCACAGAATGTGCATTTTAAACAGCCTTACATGGCAATGTTTAAATGCTTCACTTGAAAGAGCAGAAAGCACCATTAGATTGCTCTTGAGCTCTGTCACTGCAGTCAGTTTGACATCACTCACATTTACATGGCTTAAGTGCTGCCTGCTCTTTAATCCTCATTTCCCCCTAAGTGCTGTTTTTAGTGGAACCTTTTTTTGCATTTTCAGGAACAGGCAGAAGCCATTTTTAGGTCAGTGAAATGCTAAAAATGCTGTCAGACACAGCGGAGGGAGAGCAGCAGGAAAGCAGGCTGTGGCCGTGGATGCCCTGTCAGAGATGCCATCAGTGGAGTGGAGAGAGCTCTCTAAAACACTTCTCCAAAATACACAGGCTCTGAGAAGGGACTCTGTGTCTCAGTGCTCCATCTCCAAGTGGGATTCTGCCTGTGTGCAGCATAAAGATGGTTTGTGCTTGCAGATGTGCTGCTTACAGTGACTCTGCTTTAATCTATTTTTTATTGTCAGAGACAAAAGAAAGAGAAGAATCTTTGTCTGTGGTCTGAAAGCCAAAGCTCTGCCTTTGCTGCTCTCTGCCTCATCAGCTGTGAAGATTCTGCAAGGAGAGCTGAGTTGATGCCAGTGCTGGTAAGCCAGAATTGAAAGCAGCTCCCTTTCCTAGGACTCCTTTGGCTGGGCAGCCCTGGCAGGGCAGGAAAGGAGCAGCCATTTATTTCAGTTCCTGGGGAATCAGCCATGCCCATGGATTTGCACCCCCAGCAGCTCAGCTGGTAACAAGGCAGGGAATGCAGAGTGGAATTGTGCTTGGATGTTGGATGAATGCAGCTCTGGGGCTGTTGGCTCTCACCTCTGTGCCCCTGTGTGTGCCTGCATCCATCACCAGGGCAGGATGGAGCAGGGGCTCCTTCACCTGGGCTGGTGCCAGGGCTTGTTCCCAGTGTGCAGAGCTCAGCAGGGTGTGTGTGCCCAGGGCTGCCCAGCAGCTCATTGACCCTTTGGGCAGGGCTCCCATTGCCAAAAAAGATCTTCTCACCCTTCCCCAAAGTGACTTCCTTAAAACATCTGCTTGGCAGCTGTGGGGAATGCCAGATGTGCTTCTAATGGAAAGGATCTTGCACTGACTCAGCTCCTCCAGTGGGCACAGTCTGTTCTCCATATTACAGGCAAATGTTTGAGGATGTCCACCTTGCAGTCTGTAATATTTATTCAAGGTTACTTAGAAAGTAATATCAAATTAGAAATGTGTTGCTCCAGTATGAAAATATTCTTAGTTCACTGAGGTTTCCCAATGATCACTGTAGGTTTCATCCATTATCTTCATTCTGAAAGACATACCTGATACATTATTTTTTATACACATGCCTTAATTTTGCTATCTTCTCAGAAGTTCATCTTGTGATCACAATGTTCTTGGTCTACAAAGGCTTGATTTCAGCAACAGTACAAATCAGATCAGGATCTGTGAAGAGATCCTAATTTGAGAAAGAATTTTTTTCCCTCACATTTACCTTGAGTGGTCACCTCCTTTCCTTCAGTCTAAAAGCTCAGTCAAAGTAGAATGAACTGTTTATACAACTCTGTTAATCTACTGAAAGAGTGAAAAGAGAAGAAGAAATTTAAATTGATTAAGGCATTGTTTGCTATACCAGTAAATTAAATGCTACAGTACTTTTACATTGTTGTAAGTGAAAACCAGTCAGATAACTAATTTGCAGTTTGAAAACCATATAGTTTAAATCCTTATTACTCATCTTCTTGACTAAAAGTTAAATCAGCTAAACTACAGTGCCCAAAGAGATATTAAATCAAAGCCACATCTGAAGAGCACAAGTTTCTCCCAATAAAATATGTATTGCTGTTTTCTGGCATCACATTTGCTGTCTGAATTTGGGTTATCTATTACACCATTGTACGTATCACAACAGGGCTCAAAGTATTTTTATGTCTGAATAAGTCATTTATTCTATAATAAACATTAAGGATATGCTGCTGTAATGTATTTAATTTCTGGAGAAAATGAAAGGCAAGCAAGTAGAGAAGTTACAATAGGTTGTTTAAAACTGTTTGTGCTAGGCAGAATTAGACAGGAAACAAATGAAGTTTTATGGAAAATCAGTTAATACCCAGTGGTACAAAAGTTGGCTTTGCCAAGGACTCTTCATCCCTCAGAAATATTCCACGCCTCCTGTTGGATATGCAGAGCCTGGCCCCAGAGGAGCTCTGTGGTTTGGGTGGGACATTCGGGGGGAAGGGGGCTCAGAGCATTTCCTGCAGACAGCAGGGACTGCCCCACTTCTGTCTGGGTGGGAGATGGGGGAGCTGCTTTCAGCCTGGGACACCAGGCACAGGAATCAGGGTGTAAGCATTTTGTGCTTTATTTATTTACTTATGGACATTTCCCACAGCTGCCTGAGATGAGAGCACCCCTGAGGCTGCTCCTGGGCCAGGTCACTGTGCCCAGCCCAAAGTTCACTGCTGTGTACAAAGCTCCAGGTGCTCTCTGCTCTCTGCTCCAAGGAGATCCTCTTCACAGCAGGAAGCCTGCCCAGGTGGGTGAGGGATCAGCCTGCCCTTTGCTCAGGGAACAGCAGGCAGGTTTAGGGATCAGCTGCCACTCTCAGAGGGTGAGAGCTACATTCTCTGGGGGGAATTTAAAAAAAAAAAAAAGTCTTTGTTAATAGATTATTGGATTAGATGGGGGAAGTCTAGCAGGGCTGGAAGAAGGAACAGAGAGATGAAAAGAGACAGGAGTTCCCTTGCAGGCTTTTGTCACACAAATTCCCTAAAACTGTGCTTGCTTCTGGGAGGGACAGATGGGCTGGAAAGGCTGGAGGCTGAGTGCCCACAGAGACAGGAGCTGATTTCTGTCACAGCTTCTGCCTTGCTGAGTGCACCTCCAAGGGAGGCTCTTCTTACCAACCAGCAGCTCTTCTTAAGTGAATTCTCTTCTCTGGTTTTCCTACATGGAAATCTAGCCTCAGAGCAAGGAAACCTCCAGCTGCTCAGGCCCCAAACACTTCCCTAACTCTGAGAATCTGTCTCTGGTGGAGCTGCTGCATTCATCTCCCCTTGTAAAGGCAGCAGCTCAATCCATCCTTCCTTAAGATCCATCAGATGGAGACCAAACCAGACCTTGGAAAGAAGGGTGATAAAGCACAGGTATGCCTTCAGTTGATGGCAGGGTGCTGCCTCTCCTGTTGGGATTTTTCTAGGATAGGGAAAGCTGCTCCTTAATGTCTGTTTTCCTTCTGCCTCTTTTTTTGGCACCCTGTAGAGCTGGCCATGGCAACCTGTCCCTAGGCCTTCAGACAGGTCAGATTTGTTATCAGTGCTTTTGCTGAATGATAATTTTTTTATGATTTCTTGGAAGATTTCATGGTATGAAAAAAAAAAAAATAGTACAGGTATATTTTAAAGCAAGTGCTAAAGGTTCTATTTATACAAGATCAGATCTACAAATTGTGCAAAGCTTGAATTTGACAAAGCTTTTATTCTAAAATGTTTTAATTAAAACCTACCTTCACCAATATTGTATAATTTCTTTATTTTGAGACCCAGGATATCATCAGCTGATTTAACATGCGTTCAGTTCAGATCACCACTAATCTGTCAATTCAATCAACAGGGTCATCCTGTGAGACTTAGCTCTTCAGTGAAACCACAAATCCAGAGGAGTAGGGGGAGTCCAGTTCAGGGAACAACATCTGTTGGGACCATTGAACAAAGGGTAAGAAACATGTCTGCTGCTCTGGAAAATAATTATTCCTCTCTCTGCACTTCAGTTAATCATTTGCCATGGTGTTTTTGGTTTTGGGATGTCAGACAGAGATATTTCAGAGGAAGACTCTTTCATGGTGTTTCTGATGGAAAAATCAACACTTTGCCCCCACTGTTTATAATGTGCCATCACTGGCCAAGCATTGTCTGTTCTGCCAAGGGGCTACCATGGGCTGCTTCCCCAGGTAAGTGGAAGCTGCTTGGAGCCTTCCAAAGGCACTGGTGAGGCAGAAGGGGAGGTTTGATGTCAGTAAGAGCCAGACTGCTGTGATTAGGCTGAATCAGTGTTTACAGCTGGATCAGTATTTACAGCTGGACTTTTCCAAGGTCCCAGCATAGGCTGACTTTGAGTGAACATTCCACAGCTCTCTGTCCAACAACGACCCCTGAAAATGCAGAGAGGGAATTACAAAGGTAGTTTAAGGCTCCTGAGTAAATGGGTACTAACCTGATGAATTAATATTCTCAATCATACATAGCAATCCAGTTCTAATTTTTATTTTTGGTTTTTAAAAAGTTTGTGACGTGGGTTGTATTTACTGCAAAAAGCTTCATTAAAATATATGACCACTCATGGCATGTGAATGAAATCTGAATTAGTACAAACCATGGAGGTGAGTCAGCAATGTAGATTTATGTCTGTTTTAATGTGGTAAGAAGTACCTTCTGTGAAGAAAAAAAAAATTACATATATAGCTATAATTTAAGAAGTGAAGCCCCTTTCAGCAGCACTTGAATATCTTGAAGGATATACATGAGGACTTGTCATAAATTACCTGGTGGATGTAAAATAAAGGTTATTCAGAGTAATTATGTAGGGCAGTCTAACACAGTAGGGCTGTATTGAGTCCATTAATATCATTTGTGTCATGTCAGAGAAAAATCATTTAGAGGTGTACATCAGGGGATTGCACTTTGTTCTGAAAGGGTGGAGTGTGCATTAAATCCCTCTGGATGTGTGGGCCAGCTCCCTCACTGTGTTTTAGTGGATTCATGTGAACTGAGCTAACTGGGCATGGTCATTTGGTGCTGAGCATCTAAATGTCAGCTACAAACCATTTATGGGTGTAGTACTTACTGTGGATTTCATCCTAAAAGGACTAATAGCAACAATTCCCCAGAAGTCTGTGGGAATACAGGGATTATACTTAGTAAGAGATAGGCAATTTTTTAAGGGAATGAGGAAAATATGTCACTCTCTCCATTCTATCCATTCCATCCATCCTTGTTTATTTCTTTCAATGTACAGTGTATTTTATGTGTTCAGATAAGTTAGTATCAGTGTAACAGACGAGCTAAATAAAATGATGCTGTTCTCTGGTCTGCCATTGGAAAACACCATTAAGACCATAATTGATTTTGTAATATGTATTTGCTCATCTTAATTCCATTTTTGAAGAGCCTGTTATAGAAAAGTAACTTTTCCAAATGAGGAAATAAGCTTGAGATAATGATATGATAAGACACTTGTACCCCAATGGAAAATTCCTTCTGTTCTACTTCTGAAACTGCAGAGAAAAACTCTGTAAAATGCAATTGTCTTTGTCACTCTGAGAATCTGTATCACCTGCAGAAATGAGTGTCTCTTTTTTCCCTAACCTGTGAAGTATACTTTCACTTGTTCATCTACAGAAATGTTCTATATTTTATGTCCCACTAGAGAATCCAAATATTTCATACTAATGGAGGGATAGGGTATTTTTGGGGAGGGGCAGCCTGCAGGAATCCTAACCCCCTGACAAACAGGAGCAGTTTATTCCAAGTTCTTGGAAGATAATGAAGAAATGAGCTTCTTATCCTAGATCTTTATTGAAGGATACAAAGCCTGCAAAGAGCTTTTTTAATCTAGTGTTATTCCCATAAAACTCTCCATAAGTCCTGTTTTATAAGCAGAGTTACTGGACAGTGATTTAGCTGAGTTCTTATCAAAATATTAAATGAGTGATGAAATCAGCAGATGTTTTTTACTCAGCTTTCTTGCTCTGTCTGATGAGTGGCAGCTGCCATGCCTATAAATGCATTGTGACATAGCAAATACCACCACACCTTCCAGCTGCACTTTCATTTCCTTACAAGAGTGTCTCTCATTTTAGCAGCAGAATTTTTATCTTCATTACAAAGAAAAAAATTATTAAGTGTATTTTTGAAGTCTCATTTACACTTTCTTGAGGAAAGCAGAATCACAGAAAAAAGTTTAGGCATTACTGAAGCATCTGATTAATTGCAGGCCTTTTTCTCCTTTAGTTGACCATGAATCCTGAATTGCTGCCTCAGTCTTTCTGGGGACTGAAAGCTCCCCATTCTCCAGGGGACTTTTCCAGCTCTCTGTGTTGGTTGCACAAATGGCACTCGTAGGTCTGTGCTAAGAAGCTGCCTAGATCTGAATGCAAACAGCACAACAGCCTCAGGACAGAGCCAGAACATCCCTTGGGGCTGCCTAATCCATCACATCAAGGGACACACCAAGGCTTCAAATGAAGAGATGTGTCTTTACACTGGCTAAGGCCTGAGCTACATTTACCCAGTTAAATTAAATTAAAACCAGTGTGTTTGTGATCTTTTTGTTCCATACGTAGTAAATTATTGAAAAGCGGTGTTAAATGTAATTTCTGATCGTTATTCCTAGCATCATTCATTCATTATTTAGACCTGCTTCCAGTGAAATCAACTGAAGTTTAGTTTCTGCTTTCACTGACAGCAGAGTTGAAAGACTCCATATTGATGTGGGAAGTGAAGGCAGCCACATGAACATGTGTAATAAAGCACAGTGCTCTCATTCATCCTAATAGGCATGATAAAAACCAAACTCATACAAGCCTACAAGTAATACAAATGAATTAAAGTAATTTAAAGGCAAAATATTTTAAAAGTCACAATAATAACTTGAAAATAACTGCTGTGACAAATTTTAATGAGATAATGACAGATTCATTCGCTTTTAAAATGTGCATAATTTACAGGAATGTTGTATTAGCACTGAGGTGACATTTCCTATTTTATTCAGATTAAAACTGTGTAAATAGGCCATTTGAAATACTCCCGTTGTATATTAGAATTAACTATCAGGGAATTAATTCTTCAGCTTCTCAGGAGAGTTATCCTTATTCACACAAAAGTCCCATTGATTAATGATATTTTTCAAGCATAATCAGATGACATTGGGACAGGTATAAGAATTGCTGATGTGAAAAATACCAACCCCATCCTTCTTTGTTGAGGTATTTGCTGATGATGGTTCTTTTCATGCAATTTGCTATTCCAGTGTTCAGTGCTGCACAGCAGACTGTGGGAAATTCCAACCATCTCCTACTGGTTTGCTTGAGGAGTTGTGTGGTTTAGTTTTAGTCTCTGGACAAATAATGCTTGTTTTTATGGGCAAAGCCTTTCCTGGGACTGCACAGGCAATCCATGGACATCCAAGGGTCTCTGGAACACAGGCTGGAAAAGAGTGGTTTAACTGCTGCACTGCAGCTGATTTCAAACCCCTTGTGTTCCTTTATCAGCACTGGATAAACTTATTGATGACCCGAATGTGGGTGCAGAGCCCTGGCCTTTATTGCTTATTTTATTCCAGATTTCAAATGTTTTGTGGTTTTTCTAGCCATGCTTTCATGCAGCTGTTGCTCTTTGAGCTGCTCTTGCTCACACACAGCATCCTGCTTGCATCATCGTTTGTGTGACTCATTAAAACACACATGTTTGAAAATGAAAACTCTCCTGAGCATTTAAAACTCATCACCTGGCAGTGTATTGGACAGGATTCCTGGGACTGATGAGAAGCACTCGATGAAATATGTCAGCTCCTCATCCTGGAATTTGCAAACAGATAACCCTCATCAACAGGAGAGAGGGAAATGCTTCCTAAAGCAATTTTGTTGCTTTTGTAATAGATCAGATTTGTGCAATGTGGTACATAATTCAAGAGAATATTTGAGGAGTAAAGCTATAGATCCTCTTAAGTGACTCTTTGTTCTCCATAAGTCTGGGCTGAAGGCTGTCTCATATCCTTCTCTAATGATATCTGCAATACATTCAAATACTTTGGAAAGTTTTTTTGCTCAAAACCAGCTTGCTGCTCTAATCCTATTTGCTCAGCCTTCATAGTTGATCATGAGAAAGAAGGTTCTGCTTTTATTATTTGCTTTTTTGTCAGAAAGACTTATTTCTTAAAAAAAGTAAAGTATTAGCAAGAGGAAAGAAGGGATTGTAATAGAATGAAAGTGGCACTGGGGCTCTGTGCGTGAAGCAATATCAAAGTCAAAACACAGAGCCTGTAAACAGGCCAAAACTTACCTTTCAAAACTTACCTTTCAAGGTGAATTTTTAAAAAACAGGATGGAAAATTTCTGATGAGAGTTGAAATCACTTTTGTCAGCTAAATTAATCTGCCCCTGTGTCCTGTAAATCATTTCATGCTGCAAATAATTGATCAGCGAGAGAAATTTGGGCTGTGATTTAAAGGGAATTAATTCTTAATTAAGTTGGCTTACTTTGGATTTTCATCTTTAGGGAGAATAGGCTGCTAAGCATTCCTAATATCTGCCACTTAGCTGAATATTAGGAAAACCCTTCACAAGAGATTAAGGAACTCTTCAGGTGAAGGAGATGGGAATGAAGTACCTGAATTTAAGACTAATTTAGGGGTTTGGTGTCATCTACAAGGTGAGCTTCCAGTCATCCCAGGAAGTGAACTCCCAGCTATCCCATGGAGTGAGGCAGAGCAGCAAGGTCAGGATCCTGTGTTTGCAAGGGAAGCAGGCAGTTAATCCAGAAACCTTTCCATGGTGATCTTCCCTCCTTTGTATTTCTCTGATACAGCTCCTACCAGCAATGTCCAGGAAGAACAATGCAGTCCCTTCCTTGTCACTAATTGTAGGGTCTTAGGGGAGCTTCCTCCTGAGTATTCCTGGAACTGTCTGTATTGTTTCAAAGTGCTGCTTCCTTCTCTCC